CTAGCTCATTGCAGTATTTCTATCACACAGATAATGTACTTCTTCCTTCCCTTTCCTCCTTCCCTCCCTTTCTCTCTCTCCCTCCCTTTCTCTCTCTCTTCTTTCTTTCTCTTTTTCTTTTCTTTTTGTAAAAATACTGTACAGAGGGGTTACAATTACATGGGCAAGATAATGAGTACATTTCTTATCAAGCATTGTAGCCTCCTCCTTTGCTTCCCCTTCCCATCCCTTCCCATCCTCCCCCCACCCCCCATCCTCCTCCCCCCTTTTTATTTATTTATTTATTATTCTTTTATTCAATCCTGTTTGGAACAAACTCGCGTGCTGTGCCAGACCAGACTGCGCGCAGTCCGTGAGCCAGCTTCACCGCCACTTTCCCTCCTTTACGCCCACCAAGACCAGCATTCACACCCGATGGGAAAGGGAGGAGGGCCTTTCTTTCCTTCCTTCCTTCCTTCTTTCTCTTCTCTTATTTTGTACCAGTACTGGAGCTTGAACTCAGGACCTCAAGCTTGACTTTTTCCATTTAAGGCTGGTGCTATACCATTTGAATAATTCTGCTTTCACTTTTTGCAGGTTAATTGGAAATGAGCCTCACATTTCTGTCCAAACCTTAGCCTCCTGAGTAGATAGGATTACAGGGGTGAACTATAGTGCCTGGTAGTATCCCTTTATTTTTTTCCAGTCCTGCGGCTTGAACTCAGGGTCTGGGCACTGTCCCTGAGCTTCTTTTGCTCAAGACTAACACTCTACCACTTGAACCACAGCTCCACATCTGGCTTTTTCTGTGTATGTGGTACTGAGGAATTGAACCCAGAGCTTCATGCGTGCTCGGCAAGCATTCTTTTAGACACACACAAAACAATGTTGGTTCTGTTTTCCTACGTGGCAATCATATATTCTTGTAAAAGCCTCAGTGTCCTGGGGGTGTGGGGGGTGTGGGGGGGGAGGTGTAACTACCCCCAAGGGAATTGGAGAGCCCTGCCCACGAGCTCTGTCCATTCCAGAGGCTTCTGCCCAGCTTGCTTTTCTGGCAGCAGCACCTCATTAGCAGTGATTTAGGGCTTCTCCCAAGGCTTTGTGCTCCGGGGTGACCTCCCTGTCACCCGGCCCCCTCATCCTAATCTGTCAGCAAATCTGCTTTTCCGTAGGAAAGAAGGAAAACAAAATTCCCACCGCAGCTTGTGGGCAGGCCTGTAGTTTATCTGAAGTCTGTCCAGGGGGTCAGAGTGGCTCGGAGCCCAAATGCTTCACATAGTTCCGTCTCCACGCTGTGGTTTGGAAAGCTGGGGCCTTTTAGAGCCATCCCCTCGTGTCCCTGGTCCTGAGCAACCCCCGCCGCCGCCCCCCCCCCCCCGCCCTGTCACCCAGGGATGGAAAACACAGTTTGCGGTCGTTGTGTTTTTGTCTTGTGTTCACCTGACTGTGTACAAAGCACCAGATTGCACGGCAGTGTCACTAAATAAAACCAGTCAGCACCCGAGCGAGCTCTGGAGTCTCCTTTGAAGAATGAGTTGTGGATCAGGTGGGAACCATGGCCCCAGGCCCCGCTGTGGAGATCTGCACCCTGAACCTCAGTGTCGGGCTGGGGGGGGTGGTTCCTGGGTCTGTGGCTGTTGCCCGGTACTGGCATGTTTAGCAGCTCTTGCTGAGGGGCGCGGGGCTGTAGGCAGGTCCCTGGGGCGAGGTACCGCCCAGGTTTGCTCTGTTCTATGCCGCCCGTCCCCTTGTTACTGATCTGTGTTGTCTGCTGAGTCCAGGGGAGCAGGGGCCGGAGGGGAAGCTCCCAGGAGACACGGCAAGGCCACTGCAGGGCGGGGGAGCTGAATGCCTGGTCCCAACCCACCTCCCAATGAGGCTGCGGTCCCCAGACACCGAGTGACTCCCACGGTGACTGTGAGGCCGCCTGCGCCCTGTGGGAGGAGCTTCTGTAAACAGGCTTGGCTCTGCAGCTGCCCGCAGCGAGGCCAGCTGTGCAGCCTGTGATTGAAAACAATCCTGCGGGGCCAGCTGCAGCCTGTCCCTGTGACTCGCCGCGTGGTGGGGTGGTGTCACCCCAGAACCAGCCTGCAGGTGTGCGCTCCTCGATAGGGAGTGTGTGTGTGTGTGTGTGTGGTTTGCCCCTGCTCAGGGTCTTGGCAGTGTGTGTGTGTGTGTGTGTGTGTGTATGTGTGTGTGTGTGTGTGTGGTTTGCCCCTGCTCAGGGTCTTGGCAGTGTGTGTGTGTGTGTGTGTGTGTGTGTGGTTTGCCCCTGCTCAGGGTCTTCGCAGCAGGCCCAGACGTTGCTACGTCATCAGGAAAATACGTGGGAAAGAGGAGATTTCCTTGTAGAAAGAGGAACTCAACGGGCACTGTGGCTCATGCTGTAATCCTAACTTTTCAGGAGGCTGAGATCTGAGGATTGTGGGTCAAAGCCAGCCTGGGTGGGAAAATCCATGAGACTCTTTATCTCCACTTAACTAGCCAAAATCTAGAGTGGAAGTATGGATCCTGTGGTAGAGTGCCAGCATTGAACAGCAGAGCACAAGGCCCTGAGTTCAAGCCCCAATATCAGCATGGAAAGAAGGAAGGAAGGAAGGAAGGAGGAAGGAAGGGAAGGAGGGAGGAAGGGAAGGAGGGAGGGAGGGAGAAAAAGAGAAGAGGAACTCTCAGCTATTTCCCAAGCTCACCAATGACTCTCCAGGAAGTTAGAATAACAAGGAAAGAAATTTCTGAGTAATGCACACAAGTAGCAGCCAGCAGAGCTTCATCTAGCATCGGAAGACAAGGGAGGGAGAAGGCAGGGAGGGCCGCCAGCTGTGCGGCAGAGGCTGAGTGGCCAGTTTCGGGCGTTTGTGTCCCCTGGCTGGGCCAGGGTTTGCAGCTCCCCTGAGTCACCTGTGTGTATGGCTGCCTAGCAACTTCCCAATAATCCGTTTTGATGCTATCAACGCAAGTCTGGAGACAAACAGTCTGGGCTGGCCTTGAATCAAAGGGTCTTGTGGCATGGGACTGTTTGGTTTTAGGATCCTTTTAAATAATTCTTCTCGGTTGAGATTTACAAAAAAAAACAGGCATTTAAAAAAAATTCCTGGACCTAATTCCACCTTCAGAATCGTATATCTCATTTAGCATCTAGAAGAGGAGGGAGGGTGATGGGAAGAGAGCCGGCCTGCTCCGTTCTGAGCGGTTGGTTCCCATCTTGCCATTCCGATGGCATTTTCCAGCCTGCTTTCCCGGTTCTAGCTCAGCTCCTGAACCCGGCTTCATTTTGGGGGAACTTCCCTGTCCCCTTACCCTAGCCATCCTGCCCCAGTAACGCTAACCCTGCTTTAGTGACCCCACTTCTGTTTTTTTTTTTTTTTTTTTTTGGTCCGGTTGTGGGGTCTGAGCTCTGGGCCTGGGCGCTGTCCCTCAGCTCTTCAGCTCAAGGCTAGCGCTCTACCTCTTGAGCCACAGCACCACTTCCAGCTTTTTCCTTTTTGCTTATGTGGTGCTGAGGAATGAAACCCAGGGCCTCAGGCATACAAGGCAAGCACTCTACCACTGAGCCAACTTCCCAGCCCCGTGACCCCACTTCTGGCCTGTACGGCCAGGGTTGGTGCAGAGGTGGGAGAGGTCTGGGGCAGGGGTAGGATGGGGTTGGCCCTTGTGAGTTGTGTAGAGCTCAGCACCAGCACTCAGGGCTGGAAGAGCCCCCACCTGGAACAGACCCTTGTGTCTAGGAGTACGGATGGAATGATTAGAAGGCAGGAAAATGCTTCAAGCAGACAGAAACGAAGCCCCCAAGCTGGAGTCCCAGGGGTCCTCTTGGGGGGTTCCCAGGGCGGGTCCTCACACCTGGCCTCCCCGGGGCTTCGCCCTGACTCAGGCCCAGGCCCCGCCTGGGCTCTTTTCATTGGTTGGGTGGGATTCCCCCCAGGGCATCATGGGAAGAAGAAGCAGGAGCCCGAGGCACTATGGGAACAAGAAGCAACCAGATGGCCCGCATGTAATCTATCTGCCATGTGTGTGTCACCACTTTTCATCCCTGTGGCCCGAACAGTTCCCTTTTTCTTTCCTCAGTTGGCCCTGGACAGGGGGCTGTCCCTTGGGCCCCCTTTCCAACAGAGCAGTGGCGCCTGAGGCCAGGCCCAGGACCATCACAGCAGTCTGCCTCACATGTGTGTCCAGCCCTGCCCTGGGCCCTGGAGGGCCTGAACCACAGCTGAACACCTGAGCCCTGCAGGGCTGCCTGGCCGCTCGGTGGGAGCAGAACACAAAGGAGCCTTCATAGCCCTGGGCCTCTTCAGCGGGTAGGCGGAAGCCCCACCAGCAGAGCGCTAAGCAGCCTCAGAACCCTGGCGCACTGGTCTCCCCAAGGCCAGGGAAGGAAGCCACAGCCAGGCTGAGCACATGCCACGGGTCCTGTGTTCTTTACCAGAGAGGGGGTCTGGATTGGTCCAACACAAGCAGGGAAACGGGATCAGCGCCATCATTCACAGAGTCCAAATCATAAAAGAAGATGCACAGAAATTCCTGGGACTTCAGCCAGAGAGAGATTTCTCTGTAGATCCCCTGAACCCTGGCTGGTGATTCACGAGCCACATCCTCCTACAGACACGGACACAAGCTCTCCAGGACTTCTCGCGGATTGCATCCCCCACCAGTAGGTGGATGGCATAATGCCAAAGTAAAGTTTTGGTGGGAGAGAGGGTTTTTTTTTGTTTTTTGTTTTGTTGGTTGGTTGTGGGGACTGAACTCTGGGCCTGGGCGCTGTCCCTCAGCTCTTCAGCTCAAGGCTAGCGCTCTACCACTTGAGCCACAGCACCACTTCTGGATTTTTCTGCTTACGTGGTGCTGAGGAATCGAACCCAGGGCCTCAGGCATGCAAGGCAAGCGCTCTACCACTGCGCCACCTTCCCAGCTCCCGGAGAGAGCGTTCTGACATCACTTGTTTACATGTGAACATTTGGCTAATTTGGGGTAAGCCCATAGTGGGGTCTGGAATCATTAGTTATCAATAAGTAGCAATAGCAGCAATGGATTTGCTGAGCAAGTACTGTGCCTCCACTGTCGGGAACTGTTTGTATGCAGGATGGGGTGGGTGATATTTTTCTCTTATAATAAGTAGACATTGGTTTTGTCCAAATTGATACTGTGAATGATTCTAGGTGCCCCAGGCTTCCAGGGGCTTCCAGGTCTTTCCCATTAAGACTCAGGTGTGGCCACAGTCTGTAAAATGGGCACAAGTCATCACCAAGAGACTTGACCTTCACTATTGAGTTGAACAATGATAGTTTTTTACTTTACTTACTTTAGAGCCATGTTGGTCAAAGGCCAGCTAAACAGAATTCTCAACCCCTGTGGATCGCAGTTCTCCAGTTTGAAAAACACAACCCTTCCCTGTTTAACAAAGAGGAGATGGGTTCAACCCACTCCCCTCATCCTTCATTCTTTCATGAAAACCCTTTCTGCACCTTCCTCCTCCTCCTCCTCCTCCCCCCTTCCCCTCCCCCTCCCCCTCCCCCTCCTCCTCCTCCACCATCTGGCCAATGGGATGAAAGTGAAAGACTCAGAAGCATTTGTTTATTTACTTTTTGTGCAGGCCCTGGGGCTTGAACGCACAGCCTGGGCATTGCTCCAGCCCCTCCAGTTGCAGTTTTTTGGTGGTTAATTGGAGATAACAGTCTTAAGACTCTCCTTGGGCTGGATTCAAACTGCTCCTCAGATCTCAGCCTCCTGAGTAGCTGGGATTACAGGCCTAAGCCACCAGTGCCTGGCTACTGAATTAACTAAATACACTCTCATAAGTGTGTGCACACACTCACCATGTACACTCTGCACACTCTCACATGTATACTCGCCTCTAACCAGGAAATTTCCCTGTCACACATGAGAACCCCCTCCTCCCCCCCCCCCCCCCCCCCGCTGCCCCCAGGAGGAGGTGGGCTGTGCCACGTGCCCCGTGGGCCTGAGCTCCTTTCCTGGGGCGGGATCTGGATACAGTTTGGCATGTGCATGCCTGTGACACCATCGCCAGGACCAGGATGCCCAGTGGGCCCCAGGTCCTCTCGCTTCTTTGTCCTCCCGGCCCTGGCTCCTCCCTGGGAAGCCACAGATCCACTTCCTTTCAGTACAGATGACATGTTGTGTCATTCTGCCACTCCTCGCAGTGCTCCAGGGCCATGGCATGGCCATGAGGCTCTGCATGGCTGAGCATGTGCACCCCCTCCAACCACCTGCCGAGACATGTCTGGTGGTGGTCAGCGTGTGGCTGTCAGCAGTCAAGCTGGTGTGCAAATCCACAGGTAAGTGCCGCACAGGTGCACACCTGCACTTCTCATGGACAGAGAGGAAGGGGTGAACAGGGCCGGGGAGGGGGGTGCCAAGACATGGCCAGCTTGCTTTGCCAAGTACTCAGACCGCTGCATGCCCGCCTGGGAGGCGCAGGCCGGTTCCAGTTGATCTCTGCTTCTGCCAGCGAGAATCCTCGCGGGCAGCTGCGCCTTGGGAAGGCCGAGCGCTCCGCCACCAGCAGCTCCCTGCTCGCCAGCTGTTCCCGTCTCTTGTTTGGAGAAATGTCTATTCAACTCCGTTGCCAGGTTTTAAATTAGGTTATTTGTCATTCTATGCTTGAGTTATGAGAGCTATGAAATTATATTTTGGAGGGGCTGGGAAGGTGGCTCAGTGGTAGAGCGCTTGCCTTGCATGCCTGAGGCCCTGCGTTCCATTCCTCAGCACCACATAAGCAGAAAAAAAAAAAGCTGGAAGTGGCGCTGTGGCTCAAGTGGTAGAGCGCTAGCCTTGAGCTGAAGAGCTGAGGGATAGTCCCCAGACCCAGAGTTCAGGCCCATGACCAGACCCCCACAAAAAAATTATATTTTGGATACTAAACCTCTATCAGGCATGTGATTTGCAAGTGTTTTCCAGTCTGTGGGTTTTCGCCTCTTTTGCGGGTGTTAGCACTGGAACTGGAACTCAGTCCTTGCATTCTCACTTGGCTTTTTTTGCTCGAGGCTGGCACTCTACCACTTGAGCCACACCTCCAATCCCTGGGTTTTGGTAGTTACTTGGAGGTAAGAGTCTCATAGACTTTCCTGCCTGAGTTTGAACTACAATCCTCAAAGCCCTGGGTGGCTAGGATTACAGGCATGAGCTGCTGGTGTCTGACTTGAATTTCCACTTTCTTTACAGTGCCCTTTGCAGCACAAAGATGCTCATCTTGATGAAGATCAGTGTTTGCATTGTTTAGTGTTTGTATATGCTTTAGGAGATAGCTGGAAATCACTGGCTAATCCAAATTAAACTATGTTCTCTTCTCCAGTGTTACTACTGAGTTAATTCTTACCCAGAACCCTCGTTGATTTAACTTTTGTGTGTCATAAAAACACACATTTATTCTTTTGTATGTGGCTCTCCGCTGTCATTCTTCGTTTCTTTTTTTTGGTGGTTTGAACTCTAGTCCTTGCTCTTTCTAGGCAGGCAACCTTACCACTGAGCCACGTCTCCATCCCTGAGTTTTGCTGGTTAGTTGTGAGATAGTCTAGCCCCCTGCCTGGCCCTGTTTCTTTGTATGATCCACCTATGTTAGGCTTCCTGGCAGTTAGGATGATAGGCACAGTCACTATGTCCAGCTTTGTTGAGAACGGGTCTCAAAAGCTTTCTGCTAGCCGGGCGCTGGCGGCTCATGCCTTTAATCCTAGCTGCTCAGGAGGCTGAGATCTGAGGATCACAGTTCACAGCCAGCCCAGGCAGGAAAGTCTTGTGAGATGCTTATATTCAATTAACCACCAAAAAAACTAGAAATGGCACTGTGGCTCAAGTGGTAGAGTGCTCGCCTTGAGCAAAAAGAAGCTCAGGGACAGCGCCCAGGCCCAGAGTTCAAGCCCAATGACCTACCAAAAAAAAAAAAGCCTTCTGCTGTTCAGGGTGGCCTTAAACTGTGATCCTCCTAATCAGCCTCCCCAAGTAGCTAAGATTACTGGCTCCCAGTACCTTTTTTTGGTAAAGATTCCCTTTCCCCCAGTGAAAGATTTCGGTATCCTCATTGAAAATGAGGATGACGGGCTGGGAAGGTGGCTCAGTGGTAGAGCACTCACCTTGAGCTGAAGAGCTGAGGCTCAGCGCCCAGGCCCAGAATTGATGCCCCATGACCAACAACAACAACAAAAAGTGAAAATGAGATGACACAGGTGTGCAGTTTATTTCTGGGCTCTCAATTCTTTGTTGTTGTTGGCCCTGGGGCTTGAACTCAGGGCCTCAGTGCTGTCCCTGAGCTGTTTTGCTTAAGGCTAGCACTCTACCACTTGAGCCTTGACACCAATTCTGGTTTTCTGGTGGTTAATTGGATATGAGTTGGAGATAAGAGTCTCCTTCCTGGGGACTGTTCAGCCCGGGCTGGTTTCAGACCGTGATCCTCAGATCTCAGCCTCCTGAGTAGCTAGAATTACAGGCATGAGCCACCGGTGACCAGTTGGACTCTCAATTCTATTCCTTTGATTTGTATATCTATCTTTGTGGCATGCATTAAAAAGCTAAAACAACCTTGAATTCCCATGATAAGCCTCACTTGCTATGTTATTGTTTTCATACATTGTTGTATATTTTAGTTAACATTTTCATCTGTGTTCATGACAAACACTGGTGTGTGATTTTCTTTCTCTTTTTTATGATACTGGGCTTTGAACTCAGCTTCATGCTTACTACGCAGATGCTCTACCATTTGAACTCCACCTCCATCCTTTTCATTCCGGTTATTATTTTGTTTAAAAAAATTTTTGTCGGTCATGGGGCCTGAACTCTGGGCCTGGGCGCTGTCCCTCAGCTCTTCAGCTCAAGGCTAGCGCTCTACCATTTGAGCCACAGCACCACTTCTGGTTTTTTCCTGCTTATATGGTGTTGAGGAATCGAACCCAAGACCTCATGCATGCGAGGCAAGCACTCTAACAGCGAGCCACCTTCCCAGCCCTGGTTATTATTTTTGCCAGTCCTGAGGCTTGAACTCAGGACCTGGGCACTGTCCCTGTGCTGCTCTGTGCTCAAGGTTAGCCCTCTACCACTTAAGCCATAACACCACTTCTGGCTTTTTCTGTTTATGTGGTACTGAGGAATTGAACCCAGGGCTTCATGCATGCTAGGCAAGCACTCTACGACTAAGACACATTCCCAGCCCATCTGGTGATTTTTTGTTTTTGGTCGGTTATGGGACTTGAACTCGGCCTGGGTGCTATCCTTGTGCTCTTCAGCTCAAGGAGAGTGCTCTACTGTTTGAGCCGCAGCACCACTTCCGGTTTCCTAGTGGTTTATTGGAGATAAGAGTCTCACAGACTTTCCTGCCCGGGCTAGCTTTGAACCACAATCCTCAGATCTCAGCCTCTTGAGTAGCTAGGATTACAGGCGTGAGCCACCGGCGCCCAGCTCATCTGGTGATTTTTGAGAAGGGGTCTCTCTCTTTTTTTTGCACAAGCCAGCCTGGACCTTAATCCTCCTAATTATACCCCCTCCTCCTCCCTGGGATGAGAAGCACGTGCCACTGCACCCTGCTTTTTCCGTTGAAATGGACAATTGATATTTTTTTTTCCGGGGCCAGCCTGGAACCCCGATCCTCTAAATCGCTGCCTCCTGAGTAGCTAAGGTTGGTTATAGGATCCTGTGTAGCTAAGGTTATAGGTGGGATCCACTAGCACCTAGACTTGTATGGCATTCTCTTTTGTACATATTTATTCTGGTGTTGAGGGAATACTCGTCTCATGAAGTGAACTGAGAGGTCTGCCTACTTCTTTGATTTGTGGAGAATCTATCATTTCAGTGCAGACTGCCGCTTCTATTCCCCAGCGAGGCCCGGGCCTTGCCCTGTTCTTCACGGCATAGCAATAGACATTCGGGCTTTCAATGAGGTAGCAGGCTGTCTGTGCCTCTGGACGCAGCTTCGGTTGTTTGTGTGTTTCTGTCTCTCATGTTTGAGGTTCCGGGAACTTCTTAGATCTGTGGTTTACCATCGCCATCAGTCTGGCAACATTTCAAGCCTTGTTTCTTGCGACCCTTGCCCGGCCCCGCTCCTCTTCCGGCGCATGGTCAGGCTGGTGGGGCGCACCCGACCCCATGCCCTCCTCGAGCTTTGCATTCTTTTCTGTGTTTCATTTCGCGCGGCCGTCTTCGAGGCTGCTAATATTTTCTTCTGTCGTGTCTAATCTGCTGCTAGCTCTGTCCAGTGCTGTTTCATTTCAGATGTTATTTTCTTCTCTAGAAGTTCACTTCAGGACTCTTGATATCTTCTATGTTTCTACTTATGGGGTGTGTTTTGGCAGGGTGTCTGGGGACTGGACCTAGAGTCCAACCTAACAACAACTTCTTCCTCTTTTTCCTCTTTTTCTTCCTCCTACTCCTCCTCCTCTTCCTCCTTTACTTCCTCCTTCCTTTCTTTTTGCCAGTCCTGGTTCCTGAAGTCTGGGCACTGTCCCTGAGCTTTTTCTGCACAAGGCTAACACTCTACCACATGAACCACAGCGCCGCTTCGGCTTTGTTTGGTAGTTAACTGGAGATAAGAGTCTCAGGACTGGGCTGGGAAGGTGGCTCAGTGGTAGAGCGCTTGCCTTGCATGCCTGAGGCCCTGGGTTCGATTCCTCAGCACCACATAAGCAGAAAAAGCTGGAAGTGGCGCTATGGCTCAAGTGGTAGAGCGCTAGCCTTGAGCTGAAGAGCTGAGGGACAGCGCCCAGGCCCAGAGTTCAGGCCCCCACAACCGGCCAAAAAAAAAAAAAAAGTCTCAGGACTTTCTTGCCCAGGCTGGTTTTGAGCTGTGATCCCCAGATCTCAGCCTCCTAAGTAGCTAGGATGACAGGCATGAGCCACCAGCGCCCAGCTCCCATTAACTGCGAAGCCCGTGGAATGCAGTTGGTACCTTGTCTCCGGCCGTGTGGCAGTGCCCTGGCTCCATTTCCCCGCTGAGATGTTTTCCTGCTGTGCATGAGCTCACCGGTGTTCAGCCGAGCGCTGAGGGGTCCCGGGTTCTGGCTCATGGCACCCGGCCCTGCACGCAGTTCAGGAAGTGTGCTGGGCTCTGTGGGGTCCTCTGCCGTGGGCTGGGCAGGCTGGAGACTCAGCCTCCTTTCCCCAGCCTCTCAGGGAGGCCGGCCGGGCCCCTGCTGCGTGATGTCCAGGTCTTGCCCACAGTTGTTTCGCGCTCTTTGTGGGTTTGTTTTCGGTTGTCTCTGACGAGGGGCAGAAGAGCAGTTGGTCCTTGTTGGTCCATCTTGGCCAGTGATGGGAGTCAAACTAGTGACTGGGGGGTGCTTGGCTCAGGTGGTAG